CTAGACATACACCACATGTCTATACATACCTTGTCCAATGGATTTCAGTGGCAGGTGATTCAATAAAGGAAATTGAAAGACGTGTTAAATATGATTGGCAGGCATTCGGCAAGCTAAGCATAATTTTCAAGAACAGCCGCCTTCTATATCTGAAGAGATGTTTTTGATCAGTGTGTGCTAGCTGCTCTAACATATATATGCCTGTGAAAAATGGATACTAACCTCACAATTGATACAAAAGCTAGGGATGGTGCAAAGAGCCATGAAAGATACATGCTCAGCATTACAAGACAAGATAGACCTGCACATGGATTAGAGAACAAATGAAATTTAATTTAATTTTAATTTAATTTGTTAGATTTATAGGCCGCCCAATCCCGGAGGATTCTGGGCGTCTTACACAGAACAAGAAAAGAAAAAAACAAACAAAATAAATAAAAATAAAGATTAAATTTCTCCAACACGCATACATTCAAATTGAGGCTGGACCCTACATAATAAGGTCAACAGCCCCAGGCCTGCCGGAACAGCAAGTATACGATATCATCACAACAGTAAAAGAATTGAAATGGGAATGGGCTAGTCGCATAGCAAGAAGCATTGATGGCAGGTGGACCAAGGCACTCATAGACTGGGTCCCACTGGATCAAAAGCGTCCACAAAAGAGACCTAAAACAAGATGGATCAACGACATCAGCAAGTATTGCAAAGCTCAGGACCATATCGGTCAGAAACATATGGAAGAGGCCTTCATCCTGCAGTGGATAAACAATGGCTAAAATGATGAAAACAACACTGTGTATTCCAAACATTTTAAAACTTTTTTTAAAAAAATATTTCAAACACGAAATAACTGCCTCAATTTTATTGGATGTGTTCTTAACCTGGAGTGCCCTTATTTGGAGCTCAAACCACTTTTAATAAGATCAGAACAATCCAGACAAGATCAGCATTAACAGTTTCCCAATTAAAACAGTTACTCCAAGCTCAGAGCAGGCGGTTCCAATTCAAAACGCTATGCACGCTTCTGTTAGGTACAGAATTTATTCTCGTTAACTCTGTTAGAACAGTGCACTGCATGTAAACACTAATTAACATTCTTTGGGTTGTGTTTCCTGTAAGGAATTTAACCGTATATAATGGCTCTGGCAAAATTTCATGTTACTCATGGATTTCTTGAACACAAGTGATACTTATCCCGCTTAAAATTTCAGAGACTTCAAGAAGCTGAGACTCGCAATCAAGAACTCAGTCAAAGTGTTACATCTGCAACTAGGCCTTTGCTCCGGCAGATAGAAAACCTGCAAGCTACTCTGGGAGCACAGACCTTGTCATGGGAAAAACTAGAGAAAAATCTTTCTGAGAGACTTGGTAAGGAAAAAGAATTGTCACTCTCTTAGACTGAATGTGTCAGAAATCTTTTATGCAGAGCACTTTAGTTGATTGTGGATATGCACATATTCCTGGAAGAATTAAATATATATCTGACTCTGGAATTTCTGTTAGGAGCATTAGACTGGCTGTGATATCATGAACTAATTCATGTCCAGAAAATGAATGTTCTAGATCTACCTAAAATTAGCTCTTTGACTGTAGTCAGGTTAGTAGAATTAATGAACCTCATGTTTCATTTTGGCCTTAAATCTCGATCTGTTTTTCCAAGATTAAAAAAAACCTTGTTTGCAAGCCAGTGCTGAATTTGTATCTGTTGTCGGTCTAGTGTGGAAACACTTCTTCCATTCCCCACCCTACCTGGTAGGCTGCCCTCCAGGCAGCTATAGTCTTTTATTCCGTTTTTCATCTCATCAGATATATATTTTTTATTCCTTTCAATCCACATTAGTTTTTAGTAGCAGAAAGGCTCTTATTTGTCATGTGTTTAAAAACAAGTCAGTAAAATTAGAAAAGAGTTGTTGTGAGAGAGAATGGAGATGGAGTGGGGAGTTATGGGAGGCAAATTTTCTTATCTTTTGTACACCAGGTTGTTTCATTCCCCATTCCCACTCTTTACAGTGGGAAAGCAGCCATATGGAGACCACACTCAAAATGTCATTTCCCTTTTCTTGCCTGCATAGCACATCCGAAAGATAAACTAGATGAGCGTAGAAATTTAATGTATCTTGTTTTTTCTCTTAAAAATAATAAATGTATGGTGAGGTAGTTATTGAGTGTAGAAGGCAAATGAAGGAAAAGCTCATCTTTGTCATCTTATGCTTACATCCTGAAGAAATTTCTCTGCATACCTGCCATTATCCTAATGACAGATTTTCTCCCACAAATGTAGAGCTTTGAGGATTGGGGAAAAGGGGGTCATTAGAAATGACACATAGAGAAGAATTAAGCTCTTCTCAAAGTGCAGGGTAAGCCCATGCCTGGCAATGATTTTCAAATAACTATATCAGATTTAATGTGTTGGATTGGCTAGTTTGACTGATGACTACTTGGGCTTCCCTGACAACATTTTTCATCCATAGTCGTGCTTTTGTAAGAATTGTAAGAATTAAGATTGTAAGAATTCATAGTGTACCATAATCTTTATTCTTGCCATTAGGGGAATCTCAAGCTGCCTTAGCAGCACAGACTGAAAGAGAACGTGCTGCTACAGAAGAACTTCTTTCCAACAAGATCCAACTTTCTTCCACTGAATCACAAAATAGTCTCCTGAGGCAAGAAAACAGTCGCCTTCAAGCTCAACTCGAAGCAGAAAAATCCAGGCTAAAGAAACTAGAAAATGAAAACAATAGGTAAAATTTTATACTCTCAATTTCTGCAAAAACTGCATGCACATGGTTCAGTGAATGAAGTTGGGATGTGATGGAAGTGTAATTTAAAAAAAAAAATTTTTTTTGAAAGCAACTGCTGTAATGCTAATGCATATGATGAATTGGGATCTTACCCATTGATACATTTGGGAATAGGTGCTATTATCACAACCTGGACCACTCCGTGACAAGCAAATCCATCTGTAGTTTTCATAAACACAGATAGTGATCATATCACATAGCCAAACTGATCGAGTGTAGATTTTGTAGTCATTTTATATTTGTGTAAATTATAAGTGTAATAATTTAGTAAACAGTGGCACATTTAATACCAGTTCAGAGTATATGTAATACCTTTTTTCTATAATTTCCTTTTCACAAAGGTATGAAGTTGAGCTAGAAAATCTTAAAGAAGAATATGTAAAAGTTGTTGAAGGGGCAAAGAAAGAAAAGGTTTGTTTAACTAACAATTTTTTGTATAATGTTGCTTCACCAGGAAAAAGAATCAGTTAATAAATATTATTTTGTTTTCCTCAGATGTTGTTATCTACTCAGTTAGAAATGGAAAAAATGAAAGTTGAACAAGAAAAAAAGAAAACAATATTTGTCCAAGAATCTGCAAGAGAAAAGGTACTTGATCTTGTTTGTCCAATAATTCGGATGTGAAAATCTTAAACAAATGTTGGAAGATGGGAGATATTTTGAATTTTAGTACTTTAGAAAGTATCATCTTTTCTAGTCAGCACCAATTTAGGTTTTGCATTATATATTATATGCTTTGGGTAACCCGGTATTAGATCTTTCTAATGCATGGCCTACTATTTCCTGTTTCATTGGGTTTCCCCTACTGATTTTGTTTTTCCTCTTGGTTGTATTAAGAAATCGTCTCTTATTCTGTTGGAATATTAACTCAGACATAATTTGAGATGTTTATTTCATTGTATTAAATAAATTACAGCTGACACAACAGTAATGATTTCAGTGAAGAATCAAGTGCTAATATAAAATTGAATACTCATTCTATTGCCTGAGCATTTTCCAGTGAATAGCAGGTTCTACATACAACTTAAAATGAAATAAATATAGAGCCTTGGTTGCAAATTGGTTAGAATGCACTATTGCAGGCTAAACTCTGTGTATAGCCTGGAGTTCGATCCTGACAGGGTTCAAAGTT